ACCATGTCCATGTACAGCTATATAAAGCATACTGATCAATGAGAAATACAAGATAATTGTTTCTACCATTTTACTTCTTTACAATTCATGTTCTCTCTTCCATTTAATTAATGAATCTTCTCAATTTGTTAATCTAGCATTCTGTTATCTGTATTACTGAATTAGAATCAAGAACTGAATTGGGTACTCCTTCGCCTTCGTGGCCTGAGGTTGAATATCTCCATAGATTATACTTACATATAATTGTACTTATTTATTTATTTATTTTTGTTTCTCCATGTCCTTGTTCTCTGTGTGGTTCCGTTGATTCTCTTAGAAAGCAGTACTGATGCATGTTCTGTTTTGCTGCGTCAATTTCTCTATCATTTTTATCCAATCTTTCAATTCTACGGATTATAGCTTTCCCTAAATATCTCCATATAAGAAAAAATTAGGCGAATGAAGTTGCTTTTTTTATTTCCTCAAGTTGCTGAGCGCTGTATTCAGTCTTTTACGTCAGACACGTTCTGTGCATATTGAATGTTGCCTTTAATGTTGAATTCAGCATTGCCAACAAAGAAGCAGCCAGTAATGGGTGACTTGGACTTTCCATCAAATAAAGTCAGGGTTGATGGTGATACTGGAATGGATATATACGGCCCAGGTCTGAAAAATGAAGTTGGTGAATATAATTGCTTTGTTAACGCCATAATACAGGTTGTTTTTACAGAGCATACTTTTCATTGTTGGTTCCTATGAGTTTTCTTTCATAGTAACAATTTCCTTGTGTCCAAGAAATTGATACTTTTTTGGAATACAGTCCTTGTGGCACCTTAGACGGTTTCGAGATGAATTTTTTAGGAGATCTTCATCTGGACATGATTGTGTTGGTAATCCTTGTGTTATATGTGCTCTATCTGATATCTTCATTTCTCTGAGAACGCTATCTATGTATACTCGAAGAGAAGCTGTTGCTCCTACTTCTTTGAGGGTTGCTCTGAGCAATCGGTCTTCTGACATTAAGTTCTTCCAGAAGGTAAATAGCACAACTGCTGCAATGGATTTCTTTGCTAATTATTTTAGTACAACACGTGTTTCTTCATTTCTTCGACATCAGGTATTCAGAAATTGTTTCAAAGTTCCTGATCAATAATGTGGCAAATCTGCAGGGACAGATGAACGATGCTTCTGAATTGCTTTGGGTAATATTTGATTGCTTTCACCAATCAATGCCTTGTGAACCTGTAGTACGGGTGGGCTCCTGGGATTGCAAGGGGTTCTCTTGTATTGCACATTCGGTTTTCGGAATGGACATAACTGAAAGAATGAAGTGCGACAGTTGCAGTTTGGAGTCCAGGCATCTAAATTACACAACATATTTTCGTCATACCAATGCCAGTGCTCTAAGAGAAATGAAGGCATGTCTTTTCGGTTGATAATTGATCAAATAATGGTTCTACTCCTGGTGGACTATAAAATTAGAATTTCATAAAAAATTGTTCTCGATTCATGAAAATTAGTTGCTAAAAAGTATTTATCTTTACCACTTTAGGTTATGTACCCAGAAAATACCTTTGACGAGCTTTTAAATCTGGTTGAGAAGAATCAACCGTTAGCTTGTGATCCAGAAACTCGTGGCTGTGGAAAGCTCAACTACATTCACCATGTTCTCTCTTCTCAACCCCAAATTTTCATAACTGGTGAACTTTCCATTTCATTTAGTTCTTTAACTGTTTATTTCTTTAGCTGAATGTAGTAAACTGAATCAGCATGCTACTTCTAAACTTGGATAGTGTGAGATGCTAAATGCATGTTTTCTTCATTTGGTAGTTCTGGGTTGGCAGAATAATTGTGAACGTCTCGATGACATAAGAGTAACATTATCAGCCCTGTCGACTGAGATTGATATCAGTGTGCTTTATCATGGTCTTGATCCGAAAAGCATACATTGCTTGGTTTCCATGGTACGCTTTCCTGTCTTTTTCTATGCAATTTCTATTTTCTATAATTTTCTTGGTGAAGGCGAGGGGCTTTCTTGTTATACACTAGAGATGTCACATATATAGCTCGCTATTGATTTGAACTGAATCAGAGAAGAAAAACTGTAAACAAATATGCATTATTATCTTATTAGGCACCGAAATTGGTATTTCTGAAAGTAATTATAGTAATCTATCCTAATTGCAAGTAAAATATCAATGGCCTGCTAGTACTAATGTCGAGGGCAGGCAACTATTCATTTGTTTATTGTTTGTTACATGGTTTTGGGGTGGCTTGCACATTTTTTTTTTAATAAATCAAACAACCCAATGTTTTCTCCTGTTTGCCTTCTTTGTTCAAAGTTAGATGATAGCTGCTACCTAACAACATCAAAGGATTGTGATTTGAATTACTTTCATCTTATGGACATTTTGTTCTTCAGTGGGACATGACTTCTAAGTGGACATGTATTTTATGATTACATGGTATTCTTATGGCACCTTTATCATTTAATTGAAGAAAATTTATCTAATATTTAATCCTCTTTAGTTGGAACTACTCTGACCTTGCCGTTATCCTCACTAGTGTATCTCCTATATTAGTTCTATACTACTACTTGGCATAGTTACTCTACATTCCTAATTGCTCCTATGAAATTCCAATTGCAAATTCTCTTATCCTCTCATGATTTAAAATATTTCATTAATGGAAAATATAATCGCACCTAGGTACTTCATCTTAGATGTCAAGTAATCTCATTCATGACCAAAATGGAAAGATAAAGGCCTAAGGAAAAACTTGATTTTAAGCCCAGACTAATGAAAAATTCTTCACCACTACACTAGTAGATCTTTTACTC